TTGATTGCAATAAGTACTCCATTTGTGTTCAACTCAACACTATGTTAAGAAATTGATAGATCTTGATAGAAAATTTTTTATCAAATACATTCCAATATTGACAGCTTGAGACTAAAATTCATGTGATAAACCAAGTTGGCTCAACGTTCTACATACTTTTTCCAAAATTATTTGATAAAAAATCTCAAAAACAACATTTTGTTCTAAAATAAAAATTGTGGTAAGATGACAAATATTACTCTTGGATTGAATGATCTTTAAAACTCATTAAATTTTTACTTCCATTTCATTATCCATATGTAAAAATCTCATATTGTGTCAAGTTTAAATCTCAACTTTAACTTTTTTACTTTTAAAAGTTGCAAAAATCTCAAGCTTTTGCAAAAGTTAATAAATCCATACAAAACTTGAGTAATTACTATGTATCAATAAATGATACTTCGTAAAAAAATTTAGGGTGCAAGGTTTTGGAAAAGGTTTCCTACACGTGACTATATCTAAGGTCAAAAGTTGTATGTGTGAGTTATAATTAGAAATAATCAAAAATTTAACAATAATTAATTTGATTATGACTGAGTTTAACTATGAAGTCTATAATTACAATAAATGAAAATTAATTTTTTATCAATTATCAAAGTTTAGATTATAAGTTGAAAATACTTGGATAATATGTTAGTTTTGATTAGTTTTATTAAGTAAGAAAAAGTTCATTTATTAGATTAAGTCTAAAGATGATTTCGTGGCAAGTGAAAATTTTAAAAGTTTCAAGGCCTCAATTAACATGCTATCATCTCAAACTAGACACAAAAACATTTCTTGAAGGTTTTGTTAGCTCAATGACATATTGCCACATAATGAGAATTAATCAATCCTATTAAGGTTTATCTTAGTAAAAGTAAGTTAATAATTATCATGTGTTACTACGGTAAATTTTTAAATGATATTAATAAAAAGTCAGAGAATAAACTTTCAAGTAAGGTTGAAAAGTTCATTATAAAATAATTTGCTTCATTCATGGAAGTTTGAGTTATACTATTAACTTGAAGTGTTGATGAATAAGGTGATTGAATCATGAGGGGTGTTTAGATATAATCATGTACATGGATGCTTGTTTTTTAGAAGTGTGATGAGCTGACAAAGAGCTAAATGAGGCAAAATTTAGTGCGAGTTAGTACAGAGATCATTATACATATTAAAATAACTTTTTGAATTTATGACTTTCAATCTTAAAGATCTGCTTTTGGTGTTTGTTCATAACAAAATATTTCCTCTGATTCAATTTAATCTATATCACGCAATAAGTTTTTATTGCTTGATGTATAATTAGAAATTAAGAAAAAAGTTCATTCAAAGATGAAACACAAATTTGAAGATGAAAGTTTCCTAGAATGATCGTCATATTTTTGTATAGATCATAGGAACTAATTTAAGTAGATAATATTTTATCGTCAATCTTTCTTTCAATCCTAGTGAATTGATGACATGACGTATAATCTTAACAAGCATTCAGATTGTTGATGTGTTGCTCTCAACTAAACACTAGTTAAGACATTTAATCTTAATCTAACAAACACACGAATAGATGACTTGTTGTTGTTAACTAACAATAATTTCTCTATCAATCAAACTCACAGATAGTTGACGTGACAATTAGACAAAGTTTATGATGTTACCATATCTTCATCTTGAATGATCTTTACTTTATTTTTTATTAACCAAATATTATTAAACCTAGGAGTGTTAAATATAAATGATTCATGCGATAATTTATAAATGAAACATCTTAGATCAAGATTTTATGAAATCTACTTCATTACATATGTTAATGTACTCTAGCAAATATAGATTGTTCTCCTTATGAACTTTAAAAATAATCTCATCATGTATTTTCACCTCAATAACTCTATTACTAAAGCTTCTACTGTAAAATTTACTTAAATCAATATACATTGTATTTCGTCAAACATTTGAATCTAAATAGATCCAATATTTTCAACTTTACATAGTTGATTATTTTTTGATAAGGAATATTTATACTTTAAGAGTACAAAATTTTTCTCTAATATTATAAATTTGATAATAAAAATTATCTAGAGTCCATATATCACCAAATTTTTTTGATAAATTGCATTACTTTGCCATCATAATCCATTATTTAGCAAATAATCCTCCTCAAAATCAAACTCTTGCACCACATTAGTTAAAGCATAATCCTCATCTTTTATATTCACACAACAATTCTTCTTCATCTGTTTTATAAAACCAATAGTTGTTTCTTTGAAAAACTAGTAAAAGATATAAAAATCTACGTTGGTTAGCTAAGTCATGATTAAGTTTAGCTAGTAATGAATAATACTAAATATCAAATTATGATAATAAATACATATTAGAAATATGATTAAAATATTAAAAAAATAGAATATATTTAAAGTTACAAGTGAGAAATATTTTTTATTCATTCAAAATTTGAATTGTAAATGAAGAAAATTTTGATTACATATTAGTTTTGATTAAATAATTAAAAATTTATTTTTGAGATCAAATCAAATTTGATTTAATGTCAAATATAAGATCTAGAATTTTCAAATAAGAACTTAGGAACAAAAAATCTTTTAGAAGATTAAGATAGAATAATAACATGCTATTATGTAATGAGATGTACTCAAATTAACCAAATTTTTTTTAGTAAAATTACGTTATATGATGAGATTCATGCATTTTTATGATCATTTTTCAAATAGTATAAATAAAGAGATAAACAAGAAAATTGTAAGTAGATATGAAGAGTTCATTATGTGAGAACTTGTTACATTAATAGAAAATTTAATAATATTATTATATTGAAAAATCTATGAGCGATTGGATTTGAATGATGAGTGAAAGGTTTGTGTGAAAAGATGATTGGGACACAAGCATGTACGCATTCTTGTCTTTTATCAAAAAATCTTGTGTGATATCAAAAAATCATCTAAGGTAAACATCAGTACAAGTCAATCCAAAGATATAAGACATTTTTGCCACATTTCCAACATATCATCATTTTTGTATCTTTAGAAACAAAAATGATGATTTAACGGTAGATTTGTCTCTACTCTATGATCCAAAAATTTTAATTTATTTTTCATTTTGTGAATATTATTGACCTTGAATCACATTTAGTGCCTACTAGAAAGTGGATGGAGAATATGACAAAATCATTTATTGTTTTTAATCATGATTCAGTGAAACATTTACAACTTTGTTATAAATGATTGTTTGTTTAATGACAATAAAACAATACATATGATAGTGATTGATAGCAGTTATGCAAAAAATACAAGAGATTAATACTTTTTCCTTCATCACTTATGTCATTCTCAAAATATTAAAAATTAATTATAAAATTATGAAATGCATCAATGTGAAATTGCATCTTCATCTCAAAATTTTTCATCTTGAAACTCATCGACTTCAAGGAAGCATACATTCTATTTGATAGCTTTTTGCAATAAAATCTTTACAATACAATCTTCATAGTCATTCATTTGCTTCTTGAGACAAAGGTTGTAAATGCATTATGACAATACTCACAACCTATTATTTAAAATTTTTCTAGTATTATTTGTAAATGAAAATTTTTGGCCTCAACAAATTTTTCTAGTTTAATAAGCTTCAACTTGCACTTTACTTGTCTCTTGCAGAGAAAATAATTATCACATCCATCATACTTAATTATCTTGCATCTTGCTTTCCTAGATTTGTAACCGCCATCGTGTTTTACCAAACATATGTAGTTATGACTTATGTTTTTTGAATGAAAGGATTTCTTTTCACTATTTGTAACTTTTCACACTCTTCAATATTTTCAGACTAACTGGCTCCTTAAATTCTTTTTTGTCAAAAAGATCTCTTTATGATTTGGAAATAATCTCCTTTCTTGATTCAAAACCGTCACTTTAGCTTGGGATGTGAAGATCTCAAAACAATATTTTACTCTTTGTGAAACTATCTCTCAACTTGTCAAAAGATGCTAGAATTTTTCCTTTCAAATATCTTATTATTCAACTTATTACATGCTATATTGTTTGAACAAAGTCTTGTACAACGTGTTTTCATTGCTGTATCTTCAAAATCCAAAACCTCTTCATTAATTGTCCTGATTTTTCTCTCCCTGCCGTGCTGAGTTAATCCTCTTGCGCTTGTCAATCCCAAGGAAATTCTTGGCACAATCTTACTTTACGAATATTAATCTCTCTTGTTTCGAACAAATCAAATTGTTGCGTTCAAAGAAGATAAGTTTGTGGGTGAAGTTTTGTCACTCGTTCGAGTCTACAAGCATGTCTTAGAACAGCAGTTAAATATTTCGCATATATCGCTACATATTTGTCCCTATAAAACATAGGTTTCCTTTGTTAGAATGATAGTTTCGGTTAGATGAAAGTGAAGTCCACGGATGGTTGAATTGTCTAAGCGATCTGCGATCCGCTCAAGATTGATATCTAAAATTTCGCAATTCTAAACACATCAATTCGTAGCTTCAAATAAATGACTTTCTCACGCGTAAAGCTTCCATACTTAAAACAAGTTCTAGTAATAGCGAGCAAGCAAAGAATAAGCAATAAGAAAATGATTCCTCCATCAAATCCAAAACTTTTTCCGCATCCATACAATATCCTAAGTAATAGCCATAAGCCTTAGTTATTGATACAGTATATATTAGACGTGCAGAATACTACTTGAAAAATGAACGGCTTTTTAAGTTCTATATGACTTGACCTTGACCTCCTCGATGTAGAGAAGAAGAAGAATCACTCGAAGATAAATTATCACAAGGTCTACATAGAACCACAATTGAAAAAATCTTGTACTCAACTCTTGAGAATTGGCACTTGCAATTTGAACTTGCGCACTACGAAACAAGACAACGTTTAGCTTCTCGCACTTTTGATCATTACGAACGCCGTCACTGCTCATATCATATCTTAAGTTAGCATTTTGCTATCAAATTTTTGATGCTCGCCATGACTCGACTCTCATATCAATTGTTACGCAAAAATTCACGAGAACATCAAAAAATGAACTATCATAGAAAACACGCAAATTGTATGTGGTTCGCCTCTTCACACTTCTCCAGATTAACACAACAGTTTTTGTTAAAAACAAAGTACAACCTGAACTCCTCTTTTGTAGTCCGAAAGGTTGAAATTCTAACTTGGGTTTTTTGAAAGACATATTTGACTTGAGTTATCACTAACAAAGAAAAATCTTATTATTTATTATGACATTGGACTAAATTTATTTTGAATATTTTAAGCATAATAACAAGTTATATAATTCCATCAAAAAAACTTAAGTTTAATATATATGCTTATGGAATTTATATGGAATTACTTCCTCATGCACATTCTTTTTTTCTCTATGGTTACTAATTATAGATGCAATTCAAATTGTTTATGCAGCTTTAACTTCTCTAAGTCAACGCAATTTATAAAAAAAATTTGCTTATTCTTCAGGATCACATATGGGATTTGTCTTATCGGAATTGTAACTTTCATAAATTTAGTCGTTAATGGTGCTATTTTACAAATGATTTTTTTTTCACATGGTTTAATTGGTGCTTCACTTTTTTTCTTAGCAAGAACAAGTTATGATCGAACACGCACTTTGGTTTAAGATCAAATGGGTGGAATAGTTATTATAATTTTGAACTTAGAAATATTTTTTTCATAATAAAGAAATATAAAGAAAATTAGAAAGAAATTGTTTTCACCCTAAAGAAATATTCATGTAGTTTTTATGTCAAAAAGTAATTATTTAGAAAAAAATGGAATTTTTTTTTAAAAATATATTTTGAACTATATGTTTTAGTGATCATAATGTTGAAGCTAATATGTAAAATCTGATTGGCTTTCTCACACTATTAAAATAAAAAATGATTTTCTTTTGTAATTGTAATAAAAAAATGAGATGTCAAATTAATATTTAAAAAATGGATACAAAATTTATGTTGCATTATATATTTAAATGTCTGATTCTATTGAAGTAAATAAGTAAAATAATATATATTTTTAGATTTATTTGTCAAATTTTTATAACTCAACATATAAAAAAAATTTAATAATATTTATATATTTTAGTATTTTGAAATTTTTAAAAAATATATACATTTAGATGAAGTGCGAATGATTTTTTTGATTTATCAGCAACTTTCATATGAAAATGGTCAAAATCAAATTAACATGATATTTTTTTCTTGTGATATATGTTAATGAGTTCTAATATCTTATGAAATGTATATGCATAGGCTCAAATTCTGATTTTACCTTACATTAGATATTTAACGTGAAGAAAATAAAATTTATCATATATTTAAAATCATATGAAAAAATGCATTGATAATGAAGATAGAAAAAAGTTCTTGAGGCGTATCTTTTAAGTTTGAAAAAATAATAAACTTTAAGCATAAATAAGTTTGAAAGTTGAAATGTGAAAGGTATTTTTTGGACACCATGATGATAAAATATTTTTTTTGTTCCAAAATATTCATTGATAAATCTAAAATTTATTATCATCATTATATTTTCAAACATTTTTTTTAAATTTTTATCATATTTAATCATGGAAATATTTCAAAAATCATCAAAAATAAATTTTATGCACATTATATTCTAAATTCATCTCAAATTTTAAATATGTAGTATCTATTTTGGATCTTAAATCTTGAGAATGTGAATGTCAACACACGTAATCTAAGGAAATCTGATTAATATTGCTTTGATTGATATTTATTATAAATAGAAATTTTGATATATTTGATAAGAAAAATATTTATTTGATAATATTATAGTATTCATATTTCAAATTGATAATATCACACAATATTGACAAAAATTAGATTCAATCACAAAATCTATTCTTTTAAGAAGTAAAAAATTTATTTTTAGATTGAAAATTATAAAAATCATTTATTCAGTGTTAGTTTTTCACATAGTTTAAAAAAAATATGATTAAATAATGGTTTATTTTGAATTGTTTAAAATATTTTCAAGTTTTTTAAAACTCTAGGTGATTTAAAATCTGATAAATAAAAAATATCAATGGCGATTATGAGAAATCAAACTCCATCATTACTTAGTTTTTTTGAAAATCAAATTACATGAAACATTTTTTCACTGTTAGACCTCAAGATACAAACTTTGTCCAAACTATTAAAAAGAATTTTTTTAGATTATCTCATCATATCAATAGATTACCTCGATTGTTATCATCTTCAAAAGAATCAGTTTTTCAAAGTGATTGAATTTTTGAATTTCTCCAATTATTATATTAATTTGCTCAAATAATCAAAATGATAATATTTTGTTCCATATTAGTTCTCAAACTATATCATTTATGACAAATGTTTACTTCTTTTAATGTACACAAAAGCATATCATTTATTTTTCTTCTTGATTATAACAATAGCAAAGACCTATTGAAAACCTCAATAATGATACTGATTTTCATTAAGTGGTAGTCAGATTTATCTAGTGTTTGCTTTTGGCATATTGTATGAATTTCTTTCAGCAACTCAATTACATGATTCATTTAAATCAAATGCATATGATCTTTGTAATAAGAAGCAAATATATGAATAAATCTGCAAAACTATTTAAGACATATGATATTTAATCATTGTTAAGAGTTTGACCAAACTTGTGAGTGAAAAGTTGTTTAGAGGGTTTTTTTTTGCTTCATTTTCATCTTGTGAAAATCTTCCATCACTCTGATTTAGATGTTATTTCATTCCAAAAAAAATTTAAACTTCAACATTATCATCTAAAGTAACATGAAAAAATATACTTTGATATTAAATTAACGTTGTTTTGATAGTAAGTTCATGACATATATTCAATTTTTTTCATTATAAGCAAATGTTCAAATATTAATGTTCATATATCATTCATGAAGTATGTTTTTTCTTCCAAATAGAGACAGTATAGATCTATTTAGTTAAAATTAACTAAGCTTATTCTAACAGGTTCAATCATATTAATTTATTGGTAAATTCTATTACATTCCTAAACATATCACTATGAATCTTATTATATATTGAAGATATTTCAAAGTAGCTCAACTTTGATAAAATTAGTATTCTATCCGACGAAGTATTTGCGCTTTTTTTTCTTTTACATTTTTATTACACTTTATGTTTGAGATAATCTCTTGGGGTTTTATCATCAACAAGATATTTGAAATAAATACATTTTCTGATTTTCAATTCCCAATTATGAGATTCACGATTGTATATAATGTGTAATAAATATGTCAATAATTATATTTGACCTAAACCAACAATATCAAATCAACAGACCTGACAATGACTTTTGACAATTTATTCATTGAGCTATATTGTGACAATGTAACAATAATTAGAATTTTTTAGAGCAAAGATATATGAATTTGAGAATGATAGTCATATTGAACTGTACCAACAATCATAATATACAAAAAAAGTATTGAAATAATGTTCGCTTGGAAATTCTTCAACATATTACATTTTTCTACGCATATTCTATTCATCACAACTTATCTCACATTCGTACAATTTTTTTCAATTATTTCTTGGATTTCATTTATTTTAAACTTTGACATTCATTTATTCTTTAATATCCATATTTAGATTTTGGAAAAATTCCATTATTTAGAAGCTTAATTTTTATCTATATAGATTATTTTTTAACAATGAACTATTTTTTCGCTCAAATAAAACCTTATCAAATAATTATTGCATAAAGATTCTAAACTTTGCTTGGGCAAGTCATTTTTATCACAAAAAGTTTGTGTTGTTATTGCTTCAAATTTTGATTTGATCGAAGCCATTGCAAATAATTAGAAAGTTTAAGATTTTATTCAATTATAATATTCTTTCTTATAAAAGCGTGAACACTGCGTGGTTTTTTTTAATACTAAATATGAGACATGTTTGGATGAGAAAATTTTCTATCAACTTTCGGATTTACAGCTAAGCAATCATGTGAGAGGTTACATTGTTGAATCTACAACATTAAAGCTACTTGTAGTTATGTGTGAAGATATAAACATGTTTGTGATAAAGTGCACGAAGCGGCTATCATACTAGGTGGCAAGGATATCAATTGTTCTATCATATTTTGTAGCCTATTTTAGTGAACTTGTTTACATTCTCTAAAAAATATATCTATCTATCAATATAAAAAAAAGAGATATTCTAGGAGATTTATCTTCTTTTAATTCTATTAAGACCTGGTCATTATTTCCATCCTCGATGCTACATTAGTAGACACTTCGCACATTTAATTAGAATTATGGTAACATTAGAATTTGAAGGTTTTGGATTGAAGATTATTGCATAATTGCTTTCTCCATACTCAAATTTTTTGGGATCTCAAAACAGCCTACGAACAGAGAGTATAAGTTGCCGTAGAGTTCAATGTCTTTAACTTACCATTAAATGTTCTATGGCAGTTCCAAGATCCATTGCCTCTGCTCATAAAAATCTGGATCCAACCCCAAATTTCACGTCAACCAGACTTTGTCTAAACGAGTGACTTACTATAACAATAAAATGCGAATATCTTTGAAGTATGAAGGAAATCAACATGTTCCACGCAGATAGTACATGTCCAGCCTTTACACTCCTAGCTAACTGTCATTTGCGAAGTCAAAAAAGTGTCCACAAAGAGTACTACCATCTCCAGGATCGATGAGATGAGCACGAGAGGACACTACCACATTCAGTGTTTATCAACCTGTATAGTGTAATAAAAAAGCATTCTCCTCAGACTTTCAGTTGACCATGAAGAGGCAAGTATTAAGAGAATGACCGATCACATGCTCTCGTTACAATCAAATGGTACAAGACAACGAAGTAAAACAAACTACTGCAGGCCTGTAGCAAAAGGCCGGCGCTGGTCAATATATAAGCAGGAATGTAAAATTCTCAATCCAAGGAAAGATCCTAAGAAAAATCGTCGTCATCTTAGCTACTAGACATTGAAATAAAACTGGACTTAGAGAACTGATTTAAAGAAAACCAACTGAACTCATCTGGATTCAACATTGTATTTTCGAATGCAACAAACAGCTGTTTCTAGCTGGCAAGTGATCGGAAAACAATTTATTTCTGGTTCGACTCATCGCTGTCTTTAAATTGGCTGAACACTGAAAGGAGACAGTAGCCAATCCTTGCAGCGAAACCTCGTGCAGGCATTTGATTTGACTGTCGAAACTCCTCATAATGGGCAGTGGGCTCTATGACGGGAAAGTTGCAACTGGTTGTATGAAGTTGGTTCCGGGCTAGCACGATTGACGCCAGAGAAGCTTTTGAATGATGCATATAGGTTCGAGCCCAGATGATGATGGATGGTTGAAGCGGATGCCAGTCAGTGGATGTAGAGGTGCTGCTGTATGAGTGCATCACATTCGCTGACGATCCTTTGTTTAGATACGACACCTGTGGTTCAAGTTGCTTTGAAGGAGAACGGAATCCATGCCACGTTCTTCGTGATCTGTAAGAGTCTGCTGAAGCCTGGAGAAAGTAAAAATACCACTCTCCGAGCTTTCAATGAAGATCATCCATCTGATCGCCCCGCCTTCACCACGCTTGGCAAATCTGAGATGCTCGAAGAATTGAGAAAGAAATCTGATGCAATTTATCGTGTGACTGGCAAGAGGCCCAGGTACTGTCGACCACCCTATGGCAACACCAACCATGACGTCCAACAAGTTTTGAAGGATGAAGAGTACAAGACTGTGTACTTGGAAAAATTTGTCCTGCTTCGAAGAGGCGTTAGAGCCCAGCGATTCTGCCGCCGACCACTTCTTCTGCTTGAATCATGACATCGTGCCTGCCACAGGCGAATTGTTTGCCGAAGGTTCATCATTATCATTCGCTCCAACAAGGGCTACGGGCAAGTTCGTCTGGATGACTGTTTCGTGGACAGCATATCATGAGTCAAAGTCCGTCTCATTCTTTGCAGATTGACCGTTATGTGCTGTAGGGTACTTGACAATGTCATGAATACAAACATCACGTGCTGGCAAGATGAAGCATTTTTCCGAGTGCTGCGGTTAGACCGTAGATTTGATAAGAATGTTCTCTAAACTTGGAAAGTTCAAATGGCCATTTGTCAAGCTTGTAACCTGCTTTCTCGCCACCTCCTTGCACCTTCGTGCCTCTTAGAAGATCATGTAACCCATCAACCCATCACCTACTGTGTTCAACTATCACATCTCACTTACCAACTTCATAATCAGGCAGGAATTTTTATATTATCTAACGTCCATGCCGGGTATGACTGAGTATGATGAAAAAAGTGTGACAGGTAGAGCTAATATTTCTTGCTGTCAAAAATTAGAGTCTGACGCCCGAGCTTTCCTCTGCATGTAAAACATAGGACCGAGAGAACACAAGCTGCTGATGAGCTTCCACGATATTAATGGGCGGTAACATTGTTTCCAGGATTTATACAAGACTGACCATGCCCGAGACACAGAGAGCGGTAGTCACAAAGTTCAACTCGTACTTCTATACTGATCATCACATCGATCGGTAAACTTAGACTCCTGATCTTGTAAGAGCTACTGGGCTAGGTACAGGAGGGTGTCGATGTGAGTTCCAGTTCGGTAGGCATTCCTTTAGTCTGACTAGCAGAATTGACCAGGTTAAGCATGTTTTCCCTTATTCTTATAACGAGAGTCCTTGCTATCAAATATAAATGATGCTCTGATTGCTTAGACAACACAATTGCTTGGACTTTGGACAGAGTGTTCGTTGCTTTGCTTTGGCTAATCGTGACCTCAATCAGTACATGAACTTTGAAGCAGAGGTTCATAAAGCACACATCATGTTTATGTACATCAAATTATGTTGGCGTAAGGCACAATGCTGACAGACAATTCTATGAACTATGTAGCATCTGATGACAACTGAACCTCATTATCCCAAGGCTGAATACCTTGGAGTCACAACACATAACGATATATATTGATCCTATTTATATGTATGTAGCATTTTCGTCGAAACTGTTATCGCGCAGGTCTGATCTTATTGCTAAAGACATAAACATTGAGCGTATACTGGTTTCAGATTCATCAGCCCATACGGCTCATCTCGCCAAACTTGTTTCAATATAATGAATAGCTTGAAAAGGCATCAATTGTAATGAAGATTATGTGTCAATATAATGTGGCAATACGTCTTGGTTTAATTTATTTTCTTTAAAATTTACAAATAAAAAACGCATGTTGATCGCCTTCGTATCGTTATTTAATCTTCTATTGAATGCAGATTTTGTGGCTGCCGCACAAATTTCAATCTATGTAGGAGCTGTTAATTATATACTGTGAACATGAATTCAAAACGTTTTAATACGAATTTGTAGGTGCTGTATCACTTATAATCTTGAGACATTAAAGAATTACAGCCTCAAAGGCAAGTTTAGATCTGACACCAAATTTAAAGGAAAGTATTTTTTTCTCACTTACAGTTCTGAGACAGATCATAAGCATTGCATACAGAGCAGATTAAGCTCATGGATAGATCAAAATCTTGCAAGTTCTGTTTCGATCTCAATTGCATGTAAATAAAAAAACAAAAAATTTAATTAATTAAATAAAAAAATTTATTTAGTTTTATAGATAAAGGATATAAGATTACATGTTACATGTACATGGTTACTGTACATGTTTTATAAGTTCAAGTCTTCGTTTAGTAAAAAATATGTGGGTTTAGAGTTATATTGCTCGGGATTTCTTTTGAGAATAAAACTAAGGAGTGTCCAAATTGTCTAAAACTTAGAACTCATAACTTCCCACGAGTTTCAAACGAAAATGGATGTGTTTAGAACACTGACTTCGGAAAGGGTAATGCACACTCATAATTCTGGTTGATCTGGTATAAAATCGTTACAAAAAGAATTAACTTCACATCATGATTCATTGTTTTTTTATAGCTTTGACTTCGAAATTTCTAAAAAAATTCTTTCAAAAGCCTACCTTTTAAATTTCAAGAGATTTTCAGAAGTTTTGCCATTTTATATGATCACATGAACTTGATCAAATCACCAAGAAAATTAGTTCCGAGCCCCAAAAATGTACATCAAATGAATTTCATCAAATAGCTTCTCTAATATCTTATCTAATAAATTATGTTAAGAAAATAAGCTAAATGACTATATGTGAATTAACCCTCATGTTTCTACTTGCATGATATCTTATGGACAATTATCGATGAAAAAAAACCGTGAAATCAAATTACTACAATAAACTATAAATCATAAAACTTGCAAATCCTTATATTTATTCTTTAATATCATAACTAGAGAAAAGGGTTTAGATTTTCAATTTACATTCATTTTTGAATTACAAGCCAATCAAATGGTTGGTTGAAATGGTCAATTGAAATCGATTAGAGCAAATATCATCCCAAATAATAATAGCTCCAGAGTTTATAACACAAGTGTCATGGAAAAAAACCGTATTGATTCTTTTCAAAATTCTATTGATGTCAAATGTTGTTCACTGGGGACTTTCAACAATGGACATTCACCGGACAGAACTAGACATGACACAAGGTGCTGATATCGAATGTCAAAAGACAATCCCGTGTAGCCCAGAGCTCTTCCTTTCAAGACCATTCCATGCACAGCAGCAGTCACTAACGGCCTCTTACAGCACCTTCGCTCCAGTGCCCAGATTGCCTGTTCGTCTTTCCCGTCTTAAGAGATCACATGTCAAGGAGAATGAGCGAGAGCAGTCACACATTTCGGCACTCAGTGAAAGGTGAAGCTGAAAAGACCGTGTTTGATGGGAAATGCGTTATGGGACAGTGTGCTTCATGTGTATTGGCCCAGCGCATCAACCGTGAGCGTTGAGCCTACAACCTGCAGCTTACAGTAACAGACAGTAATCTGGACTCTCATAAGCAGGCTATTCATGTACTTCTGTGGTCTTTTGCTTGTCGATCGAGTCGAACTGTAGGTCGTAGACCTCCCTCCTAATGCATCGTCTCGTCCAGAAACTGCACAGAGAAAAGCTGGAAGGCTGCAGAAGGTGCATAAGCACGTGGAAATCAAGTTCATGCTGATTTCGCCATTAAGGTGGCTTCTCTGCTTGTATGCTAATTGTATTAGAGGCAGCTGATCCTTCTCTCCATTCAAGGGAGGTTCAGAGTTTACATTCCCGAATCACATATGCGCTGGGCACTTGGGCTGCGGTTTTGTTCAGTACAAACATACGGAGGTGTTTCAGAGGCCATGCATTTTGACAGTTGATAGTCAGTCCCACTGCAGAAAGTCGAGGTCATCGAACTCTCAATAACAGATCCCATATACGTTTCTTGAATAATGTGATGAAATCTGTGCCTGTATAACAGATGTGCTCACAGTCCACACACATCAGAAGAGAGTGATCAGTGAAGTGAGAAGGGTAGCTAGCTGAGCCACATCATCTATGTTTGAAACAATCAGCTACTTGGTCTTGGAATGGTTGAGTTCATGCAGTCTGATCAACTCGTCTAAACTGACAAAGCTTAAGATTCGGGGAAGGCAAAAGTGTGGGAGGGTCGTTACCGAGGATTCAGATGACATGATGATTGTACCGTTTGCTCCGAACGAACAATCATCAAGCACAAACAGAGGACCGAAAGGTGACAGTGCAAGTCGAGCATGCCAATGGGGGAATGATCTTCGATGCAATAAGACGAAGAGGCAGAAACATAGTGCGTATCAAGCAGGTCAAGTGCACCTTCGCTCAGGTAGAGCGAAATTGAAGCTGGGTCTATACAAAGATGCCCTGGCTGACCTTGCGAAGGCGTCTTTTCTTCAACCAGATGATGCATGTACGCAAAGGTAATCCATCTTCATGATAGCCCAATTCCAGGGATCGCATCTCGCCATTGACCACCCGCACTCGATTGCACGAACTATGATCAGACGATAAGATTGTAAATAAAGTGTTTTTTTCTGAGAGATGGCGAACTGCGTGTAATGAGCCTCTACCTCAATACCTCTATATCTATCGAGATATGCATTCCTGAAAGAATCTTGTAAACAAGGGTCCTGTTTGCATATATTTACGTGAATACGGTCAGTATGGTAAGAGCTCATTACCTTTGGGCCCTGAAAGAAATCATGTCAATTGTACTACTCTGAGAGTTGTTGGGATATATCGAATGAATGGCAAAAGTTTCAATGAGAGACTTTGGATGTCGAAGCCATGGAAATTGGGAGAGCAATTAATCCAAGTTGTGAATTATACGAGAGAGAGAGAGAGAGAGAGAGAGAGAGAGAGAGAGAGATGTGTTTGCGTGAATGTGATACGGTTACGGTTTTAATGGAAGAGAAATGAAAGGTGAATGATAGCAAGACAATGAAGCGTTGCTAGCTGCTATGCAGATGCCTGTCCATGGTGAAAATGCAGCTAGGTGACATAGACGGAGCAGTATATCATGCCGATAAAGCGATCGAAGTAGCGCCATCGATCGGGTTCAACTGGATGTACCGCTGCGTTCTGCTAGAGAAGCTGAAGGAATTCACAAGAGCACTAGCCGATGCCGATCAGCTGCTGGAGCTCGATCGTCTAAATCCTCAATATTGGAGAAGGCGATCGTGGGTCCGGATGTTGCTCAAGGACCATTCTGGGGCCCTGTCTGATGCAGATGAAGCACTCCTCCTGGCACCAAATCATTCTTGGACGCTACTCCACAGATGTGAGCTGAAGAAGGAGTTGAAGGACTACTCCGGAGCGTTGAGAGACATCGAGCAGGCTGTCAAATGTGGACCTTCGCTGGCCGAAAACTACTGGAGGCAGGCATTGCTGAAAGATCTGCTCGAAGACTGCGCTGGAGCTGTTGCGGACTTGGACAGGGCCATTGCTCTTGCGCCTTCGAAACACAAAAGCTGGATGCTCCGCAGCCTCATGAACCAAAAGGTCGGACGACATCAAGCAGCGCTCGCTGATGCTGAACAGGCAGTGAAACTGGGCTCCACGGAGGTCGAGTGCTTTCACCGGCGGGCAGAGGCGAGGGAAGCTATGGGAGACTACGTCGGAGCGATGTCAGATCTCAACAAAGCCATATACCTCGACTCCTCCGACTGCCGATTGCGGCAGCTGCGGTGCGACCTGAAGCTGATACTGAAGGACTTCTCGGGAGCCCTGGCCGATGCCGATGCAGCGATCAAACTCAATCCTCCAGATGCTGCAAACTGGGAGAGAAGATCCGAAGTGAAGGAGCGCATGAAGGATGATGAAGGAGCCATGGCCGACCTCGACACAGCGGTCTCTCTGGCGCCTTCCGATCACAGGTACTTGCAAACTCGGAGCGACCTGAAGAGGAAGTTGATCGACTTCAAAGGAGCGCTGGCCGACATCGACAAGGCATTGGAGCTCGAGCCTTCCGTGGCAGAGAATCGTTGGAGAAGGGCCTTTCTCAACTTACTGGTGGCAGATTACGAGGGAGCCATTGCTGACGCCGATGAGGCTGTTTTTCTGGCACCTTGTAAGGACTGGATCTGGCACGATCGGGCTCTTCTGAAGATGCATATGCAGAACTACACAGGAGCCCTGGAAGATGCAATCAAGGCAGTGGAGTTAGATCCGTCAGAAGCTGCCAACTGGAGAACGAGATCCATAATCAAGGGTATGCTCAAAGACTACGAGGGTGCAATAACTGATGCCGATGTGGCTATTTCGCTGGCTCCTTCCATCTGTAAAGTGTGGCAGCTGCGGAGTGATTTGAAGCGGAAGCTGAAGAGGTACGATGATGCATTCGTTGATGCAGAGAAGGTGATCGAGCTCGAGCCGCATAAGTCCGAGAACTGGTCGAGAAGGTCTAGGATGAAGAAGCTGTTGGGAGACCTTGCGGGTGCGCTTGCCGATGCAGAGATTGCAGTATCCCTGGAGCCGACGAAAGCTTGGCCTTGGCATGAACGATGTCTCCTGAAGCTGCACATGGATGACATTGCTGGAGCACTGATGGACTCTACCAAAGCCATCGAACTCGAAGCTACAGAATCATCATACTGGAGGACCAGATCTTTGCTCCGAGAGCTAATGTCAGACCACATGGGCGCCATAGCCGATGCCGACAAAGCCATTGCGCTAGCACCGTCGAACTGTGGTATCTGGCAATTTCGGAGTGATGTGAAGCGTAAAATCAAAAACTATGTGGGGGCTTTGGCTGATTCAGATCGTGCACTCAATATCATCCCCACAGATCCTTCCAACTGGGCCAGGAGGTCACGGTTGAGAGAGGCTTTGGAAGACCATACTGGAGCTCTGGCCGATGTAAACGCTGCATTAGAATTTGCACCCACAGTTGCAGAATACTGGAGGCTGAGGAGCTTCATCAAGTTCTCAATCGAAGAACATGAAGACGCACTAGCAGACGCGGATCGATCGGTTCAACTGGATCCGTTAGATTCCATGAACTGGCAGGAGAGGGGTGTACTGAAAAGACTCATGGGGGATCACCCGAGCGCGGTCATGGATCTTAACAAAGCTTTGGAGCTAGAGCCTGATGACTACGAGTGTCTCAAGCATCGAGCCTACCTGAAGTTTCTCCTCGGAGATGAGTCTGGTGCTCGCCAAGATGCTGACAAAGCCACAAAGTACTACGAGGATTCTGATCTCAGCAGTGGATGCTTTGGGGTTCTTCCTGTTGAATTCCTAACGTACAAACTCAAATGATCCGCCATCGATAGCTCCTTCTATCAATTTTGAGTGCAAGTTGGTGATACGTGTACATAGCTAGGAATAGTGCCTCTATGGTCCTCCAAAATTGCAATACTTAAAATGACTCAAAATAAGAAAAGTGTACAAAACTTCGAAACAAACATGACTCTGAAGGACTGTATTGTCAACTGCGTGAGGATCTAACGAAAAGATGTGCAGGTTTGCTAGAAAGAATCCAGAGATGGTTGGCCCTACCAAGGTCACAACTTTAAGCCGTCATAATTAATGCATATGAATGGCATGGTGTAATCAAGAATTCCACCTCTCGAGCGATGTTCTCTAGATGCGGGGCCGTGAGAATTCAAGTGGACTGTTAGATGTTTATCTCCCAAAAACAACAAACGGGTGTTGTGCATTTCTATTATGTTAGACTGCTCGTGTAGAAAACGGGCCTTCCTACTTCCGATCAAGCCTTACTGGATTCTCAAAGCACGTAATTATTTCGCCACAAATCGCATAGAATTTAAGGTCATCAAATTCTTAACCCGAAATATAGATTTGTTTATCACACAGATTGAGGACATAGATTTCATGGTCATCCAATTCTTAACCCGATCCATACATTTGATTATCACACAGACTGAGCACAAACATGAGACTCTTTCACGAGAGAGAAGATGCCACTTTACTTCGATTCATTGATAGTTCTTCATTTAGTTTCTACTATCTTGCGATGTACGTTCAGTATACAATGTGTGGATGGCATTTTCTGGATTAGACATATGCAATTGCACCGACAGCAAAAGGAAATACATATCGTTTGGGGTTTATCTTAAATTTAAATAGCATCCTTGATTTAATTACTTATATAATGGCTCCTTTTTGTTAACAGGACCAGTTCTGGTTATGATGAAAGTCAACGAGTCATCTGATACTAGAGAGAGCTTCAAACGGGGCGAGACTTTGGGGAAATCATCTGCGGCCTTTTAATACGCCAACAGAACGGTGACAAACCTGTGTTTGCACTTTTGAGGCAGGCTTACGCGGCCAGAACAACACACTCGCAGATGTACATTCTTTCTCTCCTATCTTGAAGCGCCTTAAAGATACCACTGGCAAATTTGTATTTGCAGCGTCTCATTCGTGTCCGTTCTCTTCTATAATCTTGTTCTCAGTCCAACGGCATGATTCATTCAAGCCAAGGATCGTCCGTACAGCCTGATTGTTAGTACTGTACGGTACTTGGTATCCCCAAGAGGCAAATATCAAACTGGAGAACTTGTCTACTCAGGTCTGATGAGTTCATGTTCCAGGTTTCCTGGATTATGTTCTTGGCTGTGCCGGTCCTAGACCGGCGATTGCTGTTGACCTCCAGCAAATACTGGTCAAAAGCACATCAAGCTGAAAGGAATAGCGACTGGTCGTAAATACTGATTGTCAACTTGAAGCGAGGAACATGTTCTAGCATGTAGACTACACAAAACAGACGGCACTCATGACTTGGTCCACCTGGTTCAGCGTGTGGTGGAGTACTTCATACCATAGCATAGAAGGATGCAGAACTTTGAAACGAGACGGTGTGTGTTATGATCTACATACCTGGTACATCTGATATAATGTGATTGGGACATAATGTCGACGGCATGGTTTGGCTACGAGATGTTCAGTGTGATCACAGATTCACGTAGATAGTTGTGACCTGCAATTGGAATTAAAGCCAGAATGCACAAATAATGTGGGCCTTATGCAGAGTATACATAATCAAAACGAAATAGCCTAAGAAAGGAAAACTACCTCAAAGCAGCCTATCACTCAGTGTTCCAATTAGACACCGACGGCTTAATTGTAGGACCACTTTGTCGTTCAAAATCAAACATCTAAACGATTAAAGTGAATGATTGTAACGAGGAAAAATGAGAACTTCGATAAGAAAACCGCTATTTTCTTATAGTCTAGAGCACAGACCTACAAGTTACCGGCGTTTATTTTTGCAGTCGAAAGGATCTAACTGTTGACTGATGAACTATTGAATCTCTCCAACATCTAATATCAATTCATGAATGTTAATGGAAAAAGGACTATACAACATAAAATCGGTTATTCTCTTTTCATGTTCCATGTGTCTTGTGTCTAATGATAGAACAATCGAATCAATTCTCATAATCAGATAATCGGGGGACTGATTAGATGGATTAGAACTGATCTCAGGTCTAATAATATCATATGCCACTCATCACGGGAGTTCTCTAGATCAACTTTCCTTCACACTGGCGAGAGTCCTTGCATTACGGACTGACATATGAAAAGCTCTGTGAATTTTATCCGAAGCAGCCTCTTGCTGTCCATAAATCTTGGAACTTTCAATTACACGTAACTCCTTCCAAAACTAGATACCCGAAACATATGCCTTGAACTTTTTCTCAGTAGCAAACTTTAAGCCGGTTTGGCCTTTGGAATCGCTTCCTCGCTAAGTTTATCAGTCTAAGTTGAGACGTTTCGACTTTGTCTTCGATTTCACTGTCTGGTCAGATCTTGAGTAGCATGTGACGAAAATCATTACCCTCTTATCATTAGTACCATAATCGGTCCACATCGATAGACAACTTAATCATACGTTGCAGCTCAGTGCAATAGAGTGGACTTTGCATACTGAAACAAATTATCCGTTTAGAGTGGTACGACTCGACGTTGATAGGGACAGCTGAGTACAGTGATTTAGATGGTAATTACAAGCGGCGGAAGACAAGGAGCATAGAAGTCCACAGTTCCGCTTGGTTCTTTCTTCTGGACTTTAACCACATAGTATGCTCATAACACCATGCGGCAGGAAAAAAGCGCACTGTGCACGACGTCTTTGTAAGGTTGGATTCTCAAATGGCCCGATTGCCTTAGGTTACTTGCCAAAGGGCACTCCGTGCCTTGTAATTGGTGAACTATTAAGAGATATGACTGACCTGACCGTGGCTCATGTCTGTAAGGAACTTGACCTCAATTCGAACTGTAAAAGCCTACGATGATATGAACGAAAACTCTCATAAGTCATAGTCTCACGGTACAAGAGAACCGATCAGATTGACTCTTGAAAATTCTAAAATGTTCACATTGACATACATTTTTCTTTCTGAATATATTCACATTCGTTAGATGTAGAAGTAAATCTTCTAACTTGTCCATGACAGCTTGGGTGCAAAACAAAGCGTACTAACAAACGACTAGTGTTTCAAACGAGTGCTTTCAGTGGATACCAAAGATGAAGTTACATTGAGGATCAACTCAGTAAGCGCTGTTTTGGGACCAGTTTACAGCAGTCAGCTCAAATTGAACTGCATGCTCTAGTCACTACTCCAACCGTGCTTTTAAGCTACCACATCAGTCATTCTAGATGATCATGGAAAGCTTGGATCACCACAATCTGGAACAGTGACTTCCCTTCTTTGTTTCCTTAATCTGCTAAGCCCGGAGTTCTCAACACTTTCTTCGTCCTATAGGCTAATACAGTGCCAAACGATCTAGGGTGAAAGCACTGCACTAGAAGCAGTCATAGTGCAGCTAGTACATTAAATATACTGCACAGTATCAAGTTGTAGAATTTCGAAGCCAGTTTGTGCCTGCTGTATCCAGTGATAGGGCTGAAGTGCATTTAACATACCTCTGTGTATTCCCGCATGGGTTTCTGATAATGGATGCTGTTCTAGGTACCAGCAGCCGACGCTATTCGCTTTCAGTCTTTTCGATTAAGCATGGTTCGGAGTAAATATCTGATACTGTTACTATCTGCTCTAAAGTCTGACCGAGAGTTCCAGTACGGAAGGGCTCCGTAGTTCAGTTTACATGATTGTCATCAAATCGATACACCAGTGAAGGATGATCTCGTGTAGAGTGCAGTGAACCGGATGGCTCTTGGATACATTCTAGACCAGAGGTGAAGTGATGTGATATTTATGCAATCTTTCAGTCTGGACGTTTCATTGCTATGTGTAGTGAGGCATGAATCACTTTCAGGTGTCTGACGGTGTGTTCTCCTGCGGATACACCAAGAGAATACGGCATTGATATCTTTGTGCTATTGAAGTTCGTTTGCTGGTTTCGATTCCACCTCAGTTCCTCTTACCGAGCAGGGAACTATGATCCTGAAGAAAGTATGAACGTGACACCGAGATGTAGTCACTCTGCAATTTTTTATTTATTATCGAAAAACATAAAATGGATTTATTATCGTTACGTAGGCTAGAGCTTACGTCAGGCAAGGAATTTCAGGCTCGAAGTTCCAGTCAGAACTGGGATGGGATGAAGACAAGTCTATGTTCCGAAGATGACTTCAACAGTGAAACGCAAAACCTCACTGGAACGGCGGGACGCACGTGAGTATCATGCCGCCATTGTTGCCTCGGCCTTTCTCTCATGAAGATACGCACCTGATACTCAGTCTGCTCGCTTACATCTTCGCAGATTCAGTCGGTTCCGGTTGAAACTGAAGGGTTCACAGTATCCAATTCTTCTGCAGTCAACATATCTACAGTCAAGAGGCAAAATAAGATTTTTCTTTGTTAAAGCGGCAGCAAGAGGTCATCTGAAAGCAGCACGATCAGCAACCATGTTGAGGCTTAGACGTCATTACGAGGAGGGTGGAGCTGCACAGAATGGGACTCGGTGACGGAGAATGTCAAGCCTGTCCGTTGGACTCAACCAATCGAGCCAGTGCAGGAAAATTAAGTGGATTGTGAAGTAATGCTCGGAATCTTTCGACGACAACAACGGGAACTCCATTTATAATTAGCAAGCGTGGAGCAACTTGTGTATGAGCAGAAGAAGGGCAGAGGCTCGAAGCACTGTTGCGACCACGATCGCCCTTCGAACACTTGCTACGAGAATGAGCGACTGTCATCGTGAGACCTCCATGGGTTTAGCACAGCCCAAGCAGCGGCTGGCCAGCTGCAAAGATGCGAGGAGCTGTAGCGATGGAGAATGTTCCCACGGCCTGCACAGTCGTCCATTCGGCATTCTCCCTTGATGGAAAGATGGTCCGAGCCATGTGCACTCTCTCGATCGATGCGCAAGCATGCATGAATGTCCGAGTTGACCTGCGCTCTACAGGTTTTCCCCCACACTGCTCGACTCGGCATGCGTGCGGTGACTCGTATATCTTATGATTGGTCACAATCAAGTTGAGCCACTGTGACTTCCGCGGAGCTCCCGATTTGGGATTATTGCACATGGAAGTCAATCGATCTCCCTTTCCTTAAAATGACGGTTTGTATCACATTCGTTCTCTTCACTAGTGGTCTGCCAGAAGCCTCACCTGGTCTCTGCTGGGAGAAGAAAGGCAGCCACTAGCTGCTAGGCCTAGGTAGTGTCGTTGCTTGTGTAGATTGAAATATATTAGTTTTAGATTGGGAATTCGAGGAGGGCACCAGGAAGAGGTCGAGTTTATGGCTACGGACTACTCTTAGTTAAGAACTCTCAGCTCGGGTGCTACAATCCTCTAGATCGATTCAGTAGTGGAAAAATTCGACGAGTTCTTCTTTCCTCGTGGGAAGCATATGCAGTTCAATTGGGAGGTCCGGATCGCTGCAAGGACGTAGGGATCGAGGCTGCCCACAAAAGATATAGATCTGTCAAAATCACACTAAGAGGATTCGTGATCGGCGTCGTGCGTAGAAGTATGGAAGAAAAATCCCAGTCAGAATGTCCTGGGAGCGTCGCGGCCCCAGTTGCCATGGTATCATAGATCTAGAGACTGCGAGGTGAGTGGTCCAGTTGGGCCGCATACGAACGGCAGAGGACGTCGGTCACGACGAAGACGGCAGGCGTGGGGATACGAAAGTTTCAGCATTCATTCATGGAGAATGTTTGCATCAGGTCACAGAGAAATGCCTCGGTCCTCGTCACAACTTTGTGGTTGATCGGTCTCCTGCACGCTGATGGAGGCCCTGCTGCAGCAGCAGCAGCAGCGCCTGCGAGGGCCGACCTCCAAGAACAGCAGGAGTTTTATTCTCGTCTGGAAGAACACACTTTTAACCTCAGAGGTCACTCTGCAGCGGACGTCAATCGTCATGTCGTCAAGAGCCCGACGGATGCGCTTCTGGACTCCGAAATCGAGTTCCACAATTTCGCACGGAGTAGGAGGAAGGAGGAGCAGGAGAGGAGGTTCTCGTCGCTGAGCTCGGAGTCGACTGAATTTAGAGATACAGTCGGGAACTATGGATATGGCTCTGAAAGGGGACCTGTGCGCCAGCTTCTCACCACTCACCGCCACAGCACTCTCCATCACCACGAAAGCGGCTTCGCATGGAAACAGGAGCTGTCATCTCAGAGCTCTGGGTCGGCGTCCAAGGATGCTCTCGCCCTCCTCGAGTTCAAGAGGGGAGTAATTGAGGACCCTCAGGGTGTGCTGTCTACCTGGGATGCAGCAACTGCGCATGTGTGCCAAGGTTGGACTGGAGTGGTCTGTGACCCCGTCTCTGGTGGAGTCATCGAGATCAATCTTCCCAACTTCAATTTGAAGGGGACGCTTTCGCCGAAACTCGGTGATCTTGCTTCACTGCACGAGCTGGTTCTGTCCAACAACAGCTTCACGGGCGTTATTCCGGCCTCTCTGGGGGATGCTTCTGCTCTTCACACCATCCGACTCGACAGCAACAATCTGCAAGGCGCGATTCCAGACTCGCTGGGGCAATTGACCGGACTCCTGACTTTGGATCTTCACAGCAATCAACTCGATGGCTACATCCCGAAGTCTTTGGGAGGGTGCACCAGCCTGATCAGCTTGGTGTTGGATTCGAATCAGCTCATCGGCACGATTCCCGACAGTTTAAAAGGCTGCTTGGGTTTGCAAGTCCTCAGGGTCGACGACAATCAGCTCACCGGAGGCATGCCAAATTTTCTCGACAGTTTGCCGGAGCTAACTGTGCTGCACGTGTCAGGGAATCTTCTCTCGGGCTCGATTCCGAGCTTCTCACCGCAATGCTCCAACCTTTTGTCACTGTCAGCTGCATACAATCAGCTGACGGGAGAGATTCCCGGCTCAATCGGGAACTGCACGAAACTCCAAACTCTTCTGCTTGACGACAATCATTTGACAGGTAGCATACCACAGGAGATCGAGTTCCTGGGAGACCTGTCAAGCCTCTCTCTCAGAGGTAACAACCTCACTGGAACGATTCCCACCTCGCTCGGGAACCTGATGAATTTGACGGTGGTCCAGATTGACGACAACCATTTAACAGGAGTAGTTCCGTCTTCCTTCGGCAAGCTACCACTTCTGCAAACTTTGAGCCTCGCACACAACGAGCTTACGGGAGAGGTTCCGTCGACATTATGGAATGCTCAGAACCTGGAGTCCTTGGACTTGCAAGGGAACAGTCTGTCAGGTTTGCTTTCCATCTCCACGGGCCTCCAAGTCTCTCGGTTGAGAGAAATTGTGCTCAGTGACAATCAGCTGAGTGGGCCAATTCCACCCGACGTGGGACGTCTGCAGAATCTAGAAGTGCTCGGATTGGGAGCGAACCAGTTGAGTGGGATGATTCCCGCTTCTTTGGGGAATTGCTCGAAAATGAAGGTCATCGACCTGTCCGCGAACCTGTTGACGGGAACGATTCCATCGGAGCTCGGATTCCTGACTCAGCTGGTCAGCCTTCAGCTTTCTGACAACGGCATCTCCGGATCGATACCCAACACTTTAAGCAACTGCTCACAGCTCATGGATCTGCAGCTCAGCACGAACCATTTGAGTGGCTTGATTCCGGCTGGATTCAGTTCGATGCAGCGGCTGCAGATGCTTTCGCTGAGGGACAATAAGTTCGGGATGACGTTCCCCGATTTCTTAGAAGGCATCGGCAATTTAACGAGGATCGACCTGTCGGGGAACCACTTGAGTGGTCCCATCCCGGTCTCCATCGGTAACTTCACAAATCTTCAGAGTTTGAATTTGGCAAACAACAGACTGACGGGGCCCATTCCTCTAGAATTGTTCAGTTTAGTGACTCTGGAGGAGTTGGTTCTCACAAATAACATCTTGGACGGCGAAATTCCGCCCGAGATCGGACAGCTGGTTCGTTTGTCATCGCTGTTGATCAGCAACAATAACTTCACGGGGCCTTTTCCCAGCAGTCTCGGCAACTGCACTAATCTACAAGAGTTGAACATGGCGAACAACCGATTCTCGGGTCCACTCCCGGGAGCGACGTTCTCGCAGCTCACGCGACTCAGCGTCAAACTGAACCTCGCCAGTAATCACTTCTCGGGCGTTCTGCCCAAAGAGCTCGGATACCTCGTCTCGGTGCAGAAGATGAACTTCTCCTTCAACAGCTTCGTGTTCCGGGTGCCTGCGAGTTTGGCGAATTGCACCGCTCTCGAGTGGCTGGACATGTCGCACAACCATCTGTGCGGCGAGCTGCCGCCGCAGCTCGCACTGATGACGAATCTCGTCTACTTCAATGTCTCGGCCAACAATTTGGAGGGGCCGATCCCCATTGGCGGCATCTTCAGCAACAACCTCACAGCAGACTCGTTCTGGGGCAACCCTCGGCTCTGCGGCTACCAGATCGACCGAAATTGCTCGATCGCAGGGCAGGACAGCAAATGCCAGGGCTTCCACTGCAGCTGGTTCGCCGTCACCAGCGGCGTGATCGGCATCATCCTGGTGGGCATCGGAGTCACCATCTGGTACTGCCTCTTCACAAAAGTCATCGAGTACCATCGCAAGACTCTGGGGCCGGAGATGCCGCACGTGCAGCAGCTCAAGGTCACGGTGCACGATCTGACGAAAGCGACCGATGCCTTCAGCCTAGACAACATCATCGGGGTCGGCAGGCGCAGCATTGTCTTCAAGGGCGTTCTGCCGAGCGGTGCTCTCATCGCGGTGAAGAAGCTCGAGAAGGAGAAGAATGGCACCAACCTCTGGGACAAGAAGGACCAGTACCGCGAGATCGACTTCCTCGGAAAGCTGCGGCATCCGAATCTGATGAAAACCCTCAGCGTTTGCTGGAATCTCGACACGAAGGCGCTGGTCTTCGATTTCATGGAGAACGGGACTTTGAGTGACCACTTGCATGCTCCTCCTGTCGACTCGGACTCGGACACGGAATCGATACTCACATGGGACATCCGGCGGAACATCGCTCTGGGCATTGCGAAAGGTCTGGTTTTTCTCCACCACGACTGCGCCGAGAAGCGAGGCGGCGAGCCTGTGATCCATGGCGACCTCAAGCCCAGCAACATCTTCCTGGACGACGACTTTCAGCCCAAGATTGCAGATTTCGGTCTGGCTCGTCTGATCATGCCCGACGACATCACCGAGGGAGATGAAGAAGCTCTCGAGATGGCTCTCACCATCTGTGACAGGGACTACATCGCACCAGGTAATCATCCGCCTGCCTCGGTAACCATCTGCATGACACTTCTGCTCATCGCCATTATCTCAAATGAGTCTCACAATCGAAGTTAACTTTCAAGTTACAGTCTTCGCATCGTCTTCGTCATCTACACCATCCATTTCTGAACTGAATCTAGACTTTCAGATTTGGGAAGGCGAGGGACCTCGAACTGCCCATCGGGCCTTATGCAGGACGATCTAACTCTTCATCACTCCTTCTCGGGCTTGCATTGCAGTCTCGGGTTCTAAATCCCGATTCAAGTTCTTCTTCTGATTCTAATTCGACAATCAGCATGTGAAGCGAAAATTATGAAAGTGTGTGACGGTGAATTTAGACTCCATACAATCGATCGCTCTTCACTGTTATAGCACTGATTTATATCTTGCATGTGACAGAATGTATATGTCCTCAGGCGCGATTCTCGATGAAGGGCGATGTGTACAGCTTCGGAATCATCTTGCTGGAGCTCGTGACGGGAATGCACCCGAGCGAGGACGCGAGCTGCTTCGGCGAGGAGGCCAATCTGGTGGAATGGATACGTGAGGCGAACACGCCGGAGAACGTCATCGACCAAAGGCTGCGGGGCGAGTTTCAAGAAGTGGCAAAGAAGCACCAAATGCTTCTGACCTTGCAAACGGGAATGCTGTGCACTCAGGAAGCGTACCAAAAGCGTCCGGACATGAAAGAAGTGCTGGAAATTTTGAATCGAACCAAGGAGCGGACTTTCAATGATGGAGAGGACTCCCCAGTGTAGTGCTCTCGAGGCGCTCTGAGTGGGGATCCGTGAAAGTCTTAGCTTCAAGTCCGACCTTCTCCACTTTTTTAATCGTGATCAGGTTGGGCATCTACCGAAAAGAAATCGACCAGATAGAGGAAATTTTGATCTGTGCAGAAGAGAAAACTTGTGTTGTATTAACGCTTCTGGCAATCTTGCTCGTGGGATGTCTCTGCGATTGGTTCTTGCCATCGCATGAATTCTGATATCATTCAATCATACATGTACTCACTTTGCGATGGGATGGATCCTTTGTACTGTATGCTTCAACATCGTGGCTCCTCATGACTCTCTAACTGTCTGGTCGTCATGTTTCTTGTGGATTTCCAGCTTCCGGTCCATCATGCACGCTTGGACGTGACGATAGAGGAATTTTCTCTTACACAGGACCTGGTAGGACAGCATTATGTTCCAGATAATTGCCCGCTGGTGGATAGGAATCGCCAATGAGTACCTTGCCACTCATGTTCATCGTTATGCCACCTCGTTCAGGGTTGCGTAATGGTACGTGTATTTGAGTACGTGATGCGAGGTCAGCCGTGATCGTCGAATTGCACTAATCACTATACGTAAACACACAACGTGGCTGGCAGGCGACTCACGGGCATCTGTAGTGGAGGGAGCTGGGGTGTGTTTGCTATTCATATTCTTGGATCATGTATTCTTCATCTAGAGTCTTCGGATATTTTTGACCAAATTTTATAAAAATGATAATGAATTTTTCCATCAGCCTGTGTCCATTGAGCAGGAAGTACGTTCTGTTTCTGTAACTCGGAAACGAATCGGATACGACGGACGTAAGATAGCGAGGATGATGGTCCGATTGATTTTAGTTCCCTTAGAGTTATTGTTTAGAAGAGTGCATATAGCGCAAAAATTTATTTCAAAACTTTGGCACCACCTTAGATTGCAAACTGAAGAGCTCATTCAAATACTCAATATCCAAAAGCTATGGAAATCATTTCGATACGAAGATGCAGTTACATTCCGATTCGCCGAGGTTTCCACTTCTTTTAATTCTAAAAGGTGTCAGATTACTACTCCCTATGAACTCACAGATATTAGAAACGACTCATGTACTCGATCCTGTTACTTAGCTGTAATCCAAATATAATAGTATTCTCACTTCGTTATTTCTTTAGCATTGGATCTAGGATATACTGAGCCGGTCGGAGAGTATCATCAGCCATGCTCATGTATCCACTGAGAGTGGACTCCAGGTCTTCCAATTTTATCCTACTGGGGCCTACTTGCATCCTACTCCTTCTGGTTTCACCAAGTTTACCTTGAATGGCGTCTTTCCATCTGTTTGCTACATTGCTTGATCCCCGTTTGTTTATAATTGCTCACGACTTTATTTCTTTAGCATTAGAAGTATAACTAATAGCATCACAATGGGATATCTTGATTCATACGAAACGTCAGTTGCTGCCACTCCACTAGCGGGGCCATGCATGAGGATGGGTGACCACTCTCTCCAATTCTGTGTAGGAATTGCAACCACAATGGATGGAATAAGCAACGTGTTTATCAGAAAACCAAGTATCAATGTGCTTTAATCACATCGTCCGAACCAGAATCAGATATTCATTCAACGTGAGGTATTCACATTCTCATGCTATGTAGCAAACACTAAATCTGTGAAAATAACATTAGTATATATCATATGCATTCATAATGGATTACCAATATACATGGACACCTACTGAATCCATGTTAACATCATACTGATGTACATGACTAATGACAGAATTTCATATGTCAGGATTTTCAAGCTCTGCATCTTCATATGCAAGAGAATAAAGAAAGATTATGCATCTTTTATGTAAGAGAGGAATCACTCACCCCATATTTTGTGCTTTACAGTAAGTTGTAGCTACTCTTGTAGCATAATTTGTCACTAGGACACAAGTCTCATTCTGACATATATGGGCCTTGTATACACCCTCAAAACTCAAACAAAACAAGACGAAAAAAACTACAACATATCTAACTGACATTGTAGCACTTAATTAGAGTGCTACAATGTCAATTAGGATTTATATAGTAGTGATATACGCAATACGAAATCGCAAGACAGAATATGTCTTACCCAACCATCATCCCAGTCATTACGGGATGTGAAATGATTGTCCCATACCATGTCCGCGAATTAGGTAATGTACATGTAAGGCTTGTGTCATAATGTGACTCAGCGAGCATAAGTCAGCATTATGTACTCAACAGTAGTATGCTCCTCTCTTTTTTAGTATATTCTCTTTGTATTGCAAAGCCGCAATCTCAACACGAATTATTTCTCCAACTTAGAGGCATCTCCCTAACACATATGCCTCTTGCCTGAAGCATCCAATGTGCTAAGACCACTGTAAGTGTAGTGGTAACTCGACCCCAATCATCAAAATACACCTTCTTAGCACTTTAGTACATAAATATTACATCTAAGGTCCGAAATGCGTGACAAAGGCTGAGCATGGTAAGGTACTAAGGAATTTGGAGTAAATTTAGCTTTTAGGTCCATAATTTCTCCCATCACCTGTCTTAACATCTTAAATAAATGCTCGGACATGTTTGAGACGGCAAGTAAGAGGATCCGAGTGAGCTATGAAGGACAAAATGCTACACATCCAAGCGTATGGGACACACACCTTGTGAATGAGCTTTAACAAGCTTAATGTGGAGCGAGTCTAGAACGAGATGAACTCAAATGAAGCTGTGATTAGCTGCAGTGGCAAAAGTGCTCATCAAAGGAGGATTATTCTAAAGTGAGGTAAAAGGTGCATCGGCCGGGAATCGAACCCGGGTCTGTTCCGTGGCAGGGAACTATTCTACCCCTAGACCACCGATGCAGATGTCAGCGAGAGAACATTTTATTATTATATTGCAAAACTTTATGAGTTGTAAAATTCTTAGTCCATTTGAGAGTCACAGAGAGTAGTGGTCTATCAAATCAAGTAGTCTCAAATGACCGCTCATGGTTACTTGACCTCTGACCCATGACCGGTCACTGGTCACCGGTGGTTGATGAAGATCGGTATTGAGAGGCTTGGGAAGGTTGAACCAATCTGGTAGAGAGACTATAAAGTTGAGCTCTACCAAACATTCGCAGCATAGTGAGTTACTTCTACCCGAGGTGTTCAAGTCGATCGTGGAGGAAGGGTTCAAAAGACGCTCCGCAGAGTTGCAGCAGAAATCAAACGCACTAGTCAGTGGAACCGGTTCTCCAGTGTTCGATCGGAGAATCCCTAAATCTTCGACAAGAGCGAGTCCTCTCGAAAATCGAGCGAGGAAGGCCAATATTGTAAGAACTATGGCTGCCAAGAACTACTTCAGTCTTCTTGCTGACAAAGAGGAGGCCCAGGATGCAAAAATTTCGGCCGCTGGCCGAAATGAGTTTGGCAGCAAATGCCGGCCTTTGCCGCAGTCGTACCTGAAAGTGCTCGTCCGCGGATTGGAGACGAAGCCTCGAGATCCAGTCCAGCAACAAGGTCCTCAGGCCCCACCAGAGAAAGCTAAAGTCCACGAGGCGCCTTCCAGAAGACGTCCTGGAGAACTTTGGGGCAAGTTCAGGCAGGAAAAGTGTGCTCCGGCTAACAAGTGAAGTAAAGATCGTCCTTGTGCTTGACTTACAGCCCAAGGATGCTGTAAGTTCAGGTAAGCACAGGCGTCGTGTGTTCCTTGCGATGACGATGCGCGGAGAGAAACTTTCGGCGGCAACCGGAGGCTTGGAAAGGGGCTTTTGCACTACGTTGAGGACCGCTTCAAGCTCTGAATTGCGCATTAGCTTACTCTCCTTTGTGCTGAATTGAACTAAGGAACATGTTCTAACTTTACAGTTCGATAATGATAATTCGCTACTAATGCGGATGTGTAATGTATAACCAACGATGAAAAGACCCATCCAGTCAAAGCCCTTGCATGGATGAAACCAAAGGAATAAGATGGGCAGGGTTAAGGGGATCAAATTTTCGGGTAGGAAGTTCTTAAGGTTGGATGGAGTATGGGACCAGCAAAGGTGCTCGATTCGGCTATGCTCTCTAAATGGGAAATATGTCATCCTCCGCAAATATGTCAAAGGGTTGTGAGCTCTCTTGTTTTCCGTGCATTAATGGATAGTAATTTCTAAATTTGTTAATAATTTTTTCCGTGCATTAATAGATTTTTTCTTTATTGCGGAAACCTATGGAGGAGAAGATTATAAGAAAAATTGTTTCCAGTCAATTACCTTGTTTCATCAAAACAAGCACATGAGTTTTCATGCATGAGTACCTCAGTCATGGATATAATTTGTAACCATGACACTTTTCAGTAAGAAAAATGCCCCTTGTGCAAGCTTTTGTCCAACTGAGCAAAAGATGGCTGCAGTATTTGATAATTTATTCCATGTGTTTGTCAATTGGTATCACACTTCAATAAGTGAGGCTTTGCACATCATAGGAGGCATATGAGGAGCAACCCTCTGCGCACATTCTCCGCTCCAGAGGACTGATTGTCTGCCTTACTGCACAAAACAATAACTCCCACAACTGACGCTTAGCTCGACTCTACAATTTCAGTCACTTTCTTTCGAGGCCATTCTTTCGTTTACTTCTTTCATTTTGTGTCGAATCTCTGAACTTCAGCGAGGTTCGATGAAGAAGATCCCTTCCAACTGAGTATCACAGGCTGTAGCATCCACCAGCTCGTCTTTAAACTTGATGTGGTTTACCGAGATCGCAGACTTCGAGGTTTGCCAGTTCCTAGAGTCCCAGCGATCAGAATGTTGGGGGCCTTTGGCACGCTCACCAACAGGCTTCGTATCGTCCTCCACGCCCTCCCTTTCCTTCCACTGCCCTGCTGCTGGCAAAACTCTTTCTCATGCGCAACGAAAGTCTATTCGCCAGAAGCACTTCACGTTTCTCTATGGACTAGACAATACTCCTCCATTCATTTGTAGCAGGGTTTAATGAGAGAGAGAGAGGACCAACGATGAGAGCATGAGGGTAGAAGCAAGAGCTGGATTCGGGATGAACAGATTTTGAGAGATTATAGAGTTCCTCAAGAGTTCGCGTAGACAGACCATAGACCTGAAAGCTGCAGAACCACCGAGTGCTAAATGTTTCTTGAAGTGTTTGAACTCTATCGAAGTGTATACCAGCCCTGGTGCCGGGACAAAGCAAAGATCATGTGCACATGAGACTCAGCTCCTGTCTACGGAACAAAAACCTTGCGTAAATGGTTCAAAGTCATGCTTTCGCTCTAAGCACGGACTTGCGAACTAAGAGTTCGTCAGCGAGACTTGGATTGTTACTACCGGTATGTTTGATGATGTTATGTGATAATAAACAAATACAAAAATAGAGCAAAATGGTACAGATTCCTTCCCACAAGGGCCTAAACAACAATGAAGAGTCAACCACTGTCACTAATTAACATTCTATTTGAAAAGTTTTACTTCTCAGCACATGTCAATCCTAGAAGACATCGCTCAATTAAGGCCAAAGGTCCGAAGAGCAGAGTATAATCACACACACAACTTGAAAATTATCCAATCAAAGCCTACAGGAATCCCACCCGACCTTGCATTAAGTATTCAGGGGAAAACTTCCTAAAATTGCACTCTTAGCCGACTCAATACCTGAATTTAAACTTGCTTAGACCCGAGTAGCCCCGGAACATTCGAATCGGACACTTGCGACTTCAGATGCGGTATCTTCTACAAATTGAAGTGCACCATGCACGGTGACAGACACACTCAATTTCACAAACGTGCATGATAGACACAGATTGAAAGCCAAGACAAGTCAATTGATAGAAAAGCCCTCCAAGGTAAGAGCCTTGGACCTCTTTATTCACTTTGAATTCCTAGACAACTCAACCGCCCGAGGCGAACCAACATCAAGCGCAAAACCATCCAACGCAGCGAATACTACGTCCGTTGAGCGTCCGTCCCCTCCTAGCCTACGCAACACGCATAGAATCTCTAACTCTAAGTTCTCCCGTGCTTCTTCTAACCCAAAAGAAAAGGAGTTGACTAATCTAACTAATTGCCGATGCCCGACGATTCCGATGGCCTCAAGATCCCTCAATTGTCACTTTAGCAAGTCCAATTTCATCCACTTCAACGTTTGAACTTCCCACTCAACGAATCCGCGCAGACTCCTTTCAACCCGCAACCGTCGGTCGTCTTCTCCTTCAATTGCCAAAATGCCAATTCCGCCGCTTCCACTCTGGTCCGCGACATCTTTAACTACTCCTCAACCGTCTTCAATCGAGCTCGCAGCCAACCGCAATCTGCATCCAATTTTAATAAACATTTGAGCTCCAAAAACTTGGCAGTTTTGCACTCCGTCAATCTCTTCGTCCAACAAGTCAATTCACCCTCGTGCTTCTTCGTCTGCTCTATCAAACTCGCCATAAGCTCATTCGCGCATTGTATTTCTTCCTTGAGAGCTTCAGTTCGTGCCACGATCCTTCCCCAAAGTTCCATCCTCTCTGTCTTCATAGTCGCAATCTTTCGCCAAAGATTTTTGGTTCTCAATTGTTCCTCCTCATGAAGCTCCTTCTCCTTGACTAGGTTCAGCCGAAGAACTTTGCACTCTATATACTTTGCTCAAAGTTGTTACTCACGCACCTTCAAACTTGCAGTTGTTGCTGCGCCCTCTCCTGCCACTCTCTCCACATCTTCAGCGGTCTTCATCAAAGTTGCTCTCTTGCTTCGGATCCTATTCCTAAGCATCTCTACATAAAACCCAGCTTACTCCGACACCACGTACTTCTCTCGCTTCTCGTCCAAGTACTTCAGCAAGGAAACTACATTGCACTCCAAGAAGTCCGGGAATGTGACTACCACCTCCTTCGGGTCTTCTGCTGAAGGTCTCTTATCGACTTCAGGTTTTGCCATCCCCGAAGACACCTGAGGTGAAAGAATCTCACGGGATTCCACCACCGTTTCTCCAATCTGCTCTACTACCTGCTCTAGTATCTTGTGATCTAGAGTGAGCTCCTTCGCATACTCCTCACCAGTCTTTGGCTCTGGCACGTCTGCTTTCTTCAAAGACCTACTTCTCTTCTCCGAAGACATTCGCTTCTTCTCCGAAGGCCAAAGACCTTGACTTGAAGTCGCAATACTCTACCTTGAAGATCTCGCTTCTTTCCATAGAGGTTCCTCACTATGTACCCCCAAAGATCCACACTCAAGAGTCTGAAGATCATCTCCTTCAACTGCATCCTCATCCGCCAAAGATGCAATTCCCTTGGACATGTCTACACTACTCTCCGAACTCTCTAACAACACTACCCGATGTTGTGCCTTCTTCTTTGATCTAGCACGCGTCTTCGGCATCCTGAAACGCGTTGTAGCCGAACTCGCCATTTGTGCTTCTGATCTTCGTGCTGCAACAGTGAACTCGGCTATCTTTTGCCTCTTCGCCGGTCGTCCATCTTGCTCCGTGACCACCTCCACTCTAACCGGTCCTCGTGTTGCTGCTAGGATGGTCTCTTCAGCTCGAGCTTCCTCCTGTTCGGACTCTTCGTCTTTGTTCGACTCCAAGATCTCCTTTTCCTTAGGAAATCTCTTCTCCTCGCTCTTCGTCAGCAAGCTCATCTCGCAATAGAAATTCACCAAGAAAGGCATCTTGTGTTTCACCGAGGCTCTGTCCCACCTGTCTCCGACATTAATCCAAACCAGGTTCTAGAAGATCTTCGCCCAGTGAATGGCCATCCCTCGCATTGCGCGCTCTATAAAGTCAACTTGCCACGTTGTTACATATGTCGTCTGCTACGGCCGCAAGATGTGCATCAATGATGTTGCCACCGCACGTCTCTTCGGGTCACAATAATCAGCTGTACTCCAACCGTTTGTACTCGATTGAGGTTTTGTGAAGAGTTGCGCAAATGTCAACTCTTAGGCTCGCGTTACTCTAACGTTCTACTTCTCGAAGATGTAATCCCTTTCCTTGCCCACGCATTGTTGTAAGATGTGAGTTCAATGTTTGACCGTCCACAACAACGGATTGCCGCTAAGGTCGGTACCCACGTTCTTGTTCTTGTTCATCAGCTCCTGGCAAATCGTCGCCGACACGCAATTCCAATCCCAGAGCAAAAAATCGAGGCATGTCGCAATCAACTCCGGATGAAACTTCTGCAATACCACATCGGGCACCTTGAGTGAAAATAATTTCGGTCTTGTTGCTTTCCTAGCACACGCTATGTCTCGGGCAGGGTAGTCTGCGATGTCTACGATTCCAATTCTCCCTCTCGCACAATGTCCGCGGGAAGTGACCTCTTCGCGTTCTTACCCTCCAAGCTCTAACAGTTCTCGCATGCGCTTGAAGTGGCACTTGCAATGGTAGTTGTGCCTGTCCGGTCCCTGGCAATTTCAAATTTTGACAAGTCGTCTTCGCCAAAGATCCGTCTACTACATCCCCGAAGATATCTGTGCCGATATCCGAAGCTCTTCGGCCGAAGGCGAATACCATCCGGCCTTACTTTTGGTTATCCAATTTACTTTATATCTTCTAACTCCAAGGATTATGAAACTATATGTAAATGTTCTACATCCAATACACTTCTAATTTACTTTTTTATGCAAAATTCGAAAAAACTGGACACCACATGGTATATTTAATGTGACAGTCCATCCAAATTAACTTTAGGACATGTATAGCTGTTGTTCGGGCTTGATACGTACATGCAACAATTCCAATTCCCATGCATCATTATTACACTCGGGCTACTTTACAACTAAGAGCAGAATTAGCAAAACGACCGTGTCTACTGTAAAAACTGGTCGATGCAGACAATATTCAAATACATGTAATTCAATTGCAGAACGCACGAAAAAAGTTCCTAAAATACAACATAAAAAAGTAACCAAATTGAGAAACAAGGTCCAATCATTCAATTTAGGTAAAATGACTGAATGAATACAAGCTACCTCAAGGAAGGATACTATCGCCTCTGCTTTCCAACATCTACCTACACCAGTTCGATCTATTCATGGAGGAAATCAAAGTCAAATATACAACGACCAAAAACAACCCGATCTACTCGAAGGCGCGGAATAAATACTACAAGCTTGTGAAATCATTCAAGGCTTCTTCCGCCGAAATCATCCGAGCGAGACGCGATATGTTGAAAATGACTTACGGGATTCAAACAGGTTCTAGGGTGCGTTATGTTAGATACGCGGATGATTGGGTGATCGGGGTCACGGGTCCAAAAGCCCTGGCCGTA